CGTCAGGCGTGTAATAGATTTTTTAGCCTTCCTTGTACGTAATGAGTTTCATGATTTTTGGAAAATATCAGGTAATCTATTTCCATTTTTTCATTATTTCTATTTTCTCATTATTAAAATGTACCCAAAACAATATACATGTCATATTTTCTTGTAATCTATTTTCATATAATAGATTTTTAGATCCCAAACGACCCCTAAGTAAAAGAAGAAAAAGAAATCTGGGACCTAAAGCACCAAAGGGTGGTTTATTGTTTTATAGCCAAATTCATCTTCAATAATCTATTACATATATGAATAAAAAAAGCTGGTTGACAAAAAAAAAAAAAAAAAAGAAGCAAAGTCAATCATTCCTTGATTCTATAGATTTCCATTCTGTAAAACCCCCAAAACTTAGCCCAGCTAAAACCAAGATATCCCAGCTCCAATCCTAAATCCCAATAATAAAACCCTAATGCCAAATCCCATGGAAAAAGTCTCAAAATGATGAATCATGAGATTAAAGAAATGAGAAAGCAAAATTTAGACATAAAATATGAGAACAAATTATGAAGCGTAATTGAAGATCCTGAGTAACGATTGAGTTGATGGTGAGTCTGAGTTGTTGAATGTTATCAATCTTCTCGTCTCAAGAGTGTCCGGCACGTGACTAACAAAGGATCAATGGTAAAAAAGAAGAAGCAACTATTGTTTTAGAGAGAGAGAGAGGTGATTGACACCCCGATAAAATATGAGTGAGCATGTTAATCTCATGTTGCTGAAGTAAGGTGCACCTCAAAACTATGCCGATAATGCAGTTTAGGTCTTGGAGAGCCATATGAAAATCTATTATTGCCCCATTATAGAATTTAAAATTCTAAAAATGGTGATATTCAAGCAGATCTATAATCATTTGAAAATCTTGAAAATGGACGGTTTAGATCATGTATTACAAGATTAACTATTTTGAAAACTAGATTTTTTTCATGTCTATGAATCTCGATATCGAGATTATCGATCTAAGGGTTTTCCAACATGAGTATAACCTTCTTTAGTGGGATTTTTAGGTGCACTACAATATAAGGGACACCTTATGTAAACTTTTTCCATAAAATATTTGGCTCCAACCATATTAAATTGGCGCTTCAAAGTTTTCATGGAAAGTTGCTGTGTAATGGGTCCTTTGGGAACTAATAGATAAATAACCTGGTTATGAATAAACCGGGTTTTGAAGCAGAATAGCGTTTGGCTCAATAAGAAGGCCCAAATCTAGTTTTTTTTAATCTACGGCTAACAAACAAGGCCGGACTTCGAGCCTCCGGGTTGTCATGCTTTCGGGCCACTTTCGGCCCTAGTTTCAGGTCACTATCGGGGCTCTGGGCGGAGCTACACAGGCCCAGAGGGATTGTAAACGTCAGTTTTGGCGGGCCGGAGCAGAAATTACCTTACGTACTTAAGGTGAAACCCCTCTCGCCTCTCTAAGTCCCTCTCGCCACTCTGCTCTCTCTCTCTCTCCTCCCTCACCTGGCTCTCCTTCTCAACCTTCTGTCTCTCTCTCAATGAGAAAACCCATTGATTCTCTCTCTCAATGAGAAAACCCATTGATTCAAAGGCTACAAAAGAAAAAGCCCTCTGATGTAACAGATAGAAGGGTAATACCCCTGCCCATTGTGCTTCCTCGCAAGCTTCCTCATCGGATTACAGGCACCATCCTATGTTTCTTCTCAGGCTTCCTCATTAAATTGCAGGCACCATCCTCATCAGATTGCAGGCAACATCCTGTGCTTCTTCTCAGGCTTCCTCATTAAATTGCAGGCACCATCCTCATCAGATTGCAGGCATCATCATGTGCTTCTTCTCAGGCTTCTTAAGTAGAGAGATGAGGCTTTGGAGCTGGTTCTTTCTTTGCCGAAGAGATCATCCTAATTAGAGAGAGAGAGAGAAAATACTTCCCCCATCTTTTTCAATAAGGCAGGTACAGAGCTTGCTCTTTCTCTATGGTTTCAGAGGAGGCTTTGATAGTGGTTTTCAGGGATTTGCAAGGGGCTTTGTCGGTGGGTTTCTCAAGGATTAATGTGGTGGTTTTGATGGTAATTTTCGGATGATTTTGTATAGGTTTTATGGTAGTCGTCAAATGATTTTGGAAGAGATTTATGGTGGTTTTCCGGAGATTTTTTTTTTTTGGCTCTTATGGTGGTCCTATAGCTCTGAGAAGGGGTTTTCTTTGACCTTAATGAGGGGATTTCCTTTCTCTTGAGGGGCTTAGAGGGCCTTTTGGGTGAGGTTATACCTTTAGAGAGATTTTTTGAGCATTTCTCTCTCCAGTCCGTCAACAAAAGTGTTTTTATGGAGGCTATCTCTTCTTGTTATTTGTTGGTTATTTCCTATATATATATTTAAAAAATATATATATAAAGGCATGTTTAGGTACATGGATTTTAAGGCATGGATTCTTAATAACTTGGATCGTGCCAAAAACCTTAGTTACTAGGATACTTAAAATTAGGAAAATCAAAATCATATAAATAAGACTTACTTTTTCATGTTTCCAAACAAAAACCTGTTTTTTCGTATTTCCAAAGCCTATGAATTTCACTCATTGGCTTCTTAATCCAAAACATAGGGAGCATATGGTATGTATGAAAATTTTAGAGAGAGAAAGTAATTAAATTTTTTTAAAGAGAGAAACTATCTCAAAATTTTTAGAGAAAATCTCAAAATTTTAAAAAGAGAAAATAAGTTAAAATTTTAGAGAGAGAAAGTATGTTAAAATTGTAGAGAGAAAAAATATCAATTTTTTTAGAGAGATGAATTATCTCAAAATTTTAGAGAGAAAAAATATCTCAAATTTTAATTTTTAGAGAGAGAAAGTATGTTAAAATTTTTAAGAGAGAGTACCAAATGTTTTAGAGAGATGAACTATATCAAAATTTTAAATAAATTATCTCAAATTTTAACTTTTAGAGAGAGAAAGTATGTTAAAATTTTAGAGAGAGAATATTAAAATTTTAGAGAAAAAATATTAGAATTTCTTAGAGAGATAAATTGTTTCAAAATTTTAGAGAGAAACTATCTCAAATTTTAAATTTTAAAGAGAACCTATCATATTTTAGAGATAAAAAACATGCAAATTTTTAGAGAAAGAAACTATCTCAATTTTTGAGAGAGAGAAACTATTTCAAAACTTTTAGAAAGGGAAACAAACTCATATTTTAATTTTTAAAAAGGTAATCTATATCAAATCTTAAGTTTTAGAGAGAGCAAGTATTCTTACAATTGTGGAGAGAGAAATTATTCTTAAATTTTTAAAGATAAATTATTATATATTTTAGAAAGAGAAATTGGCAAACAAATTTAGAGAGAGAAATATCTCGTTTTTAGAGAGAGAAACTATTTTGAATTTTGAGTTTTAGAAAAAATCTATCTAGAAATTAGAATTTTAGAGAGAGAAAAAAATTAAATTTTTAAAGAAAAAAATTATATCAAATTTTAGATAGGGAAACTATCTCAAAATTTTTTGAGAGAGAAACTATCGCAAAATTTATGTTTTAGAAAGAGAAAGTATTTTAAAATTTTGGAAAGATAAACTATATCAAATTTAAATAGAGAAAATATATGAAATTTTTAGAGAGAAATTATCTAAAAAAAAATTAGAGAGAAACTATCTCAAAATTTAAGTTTTAGAGAGAGTAAGTATATCAAATTTTAAACTTTAAAGAGAGAACGTATATCAAATTTTAGAGAGACTATCAATTTTTAAAGAGAAACTATTTCAAAATTTTAGAGAGAGAAACTATTCCAAACTTAAAGTTTTAGAGGGAGAAAATATCTTAAAATTTAAGAGAGTAACTATATCATATGTTAGAGAGGGAATACATAAAATGTTTTAGAAAAAAAAACTATCGCAAAATTTTTAGAGAGAAATTTTCTTAAATTTTAGTTTTTAGAAAGCGAAAGTATCTTAAAATTTGAGAGAACTATATCATATTTTAGAAAGTGAAACAACTTAAAAATGTTTAAAGAGAGAAACCATCTCAAAATTATTGAAGAGAGGGATTTTTGCAAGTTTTAAGTTTTAGAGAGAATCTAAAAATTTTAAAAAGAGAAACTATATTAAATTTTAGATAGAGTATAGCACTTAAAAATTTTAGAGGGAGAAATTATCTCAAAAATTTTAGATAGACAATTTCAAAATTTAAATTTTGGATAGAAAGTATATTAAATTTTAGAGAGAAAAACTATATCAAATTTTAAAGAGAAATTATCTCAAAAATTTTATAGATACATTATCCCAAATTTGAAGTTTTAGAGAGAAAAATTGTATGAAGTTTTGTTACCAAACGTTAGACATGGAAGTGATTGCAAAGAATTCATGAATTTTGGATTAGTTTATCCAAACAAGAGATTTGAAGAATCCATGACAAAAATATTTGATATTGAAAGTTTTCTTAGGATTTCAAATATCTAAGATTCCTAATTTCTTTTTATCCAAACGAGCCCTAAAGAAATCAAGTTTTACCTACCATATTAAAAAAAAAAAAGTTTATATAAAATGCAACCTTATAATGTAGAACTACGGATGCACCTCAAAAATCCATTGGAAAAGGTAATTTTAATGTTGAAAAACCCTTTGGTTGATCATCTCGACATAGAGATGTATGACCATGAAAAATAAAAAGATTTTAAATCTTAGAAATAGTGCATTTTACAACATATTATCTACACCGTTTATTTTCAAGATTTTCATATGTTTATATCTATTTGATTTTAACTATTTTTTAAATTTAAAATTTTATAATTAGATATAAAGATAGATTTTGAAATAGTCCTAATAACATTTTACATCAAAATTATATATCATGATAAAATTTGAAGGTGCACTCCTCTACACCTACGTATGCGTATGCAACTGCACCCGTTAGAAAATTACCAACCGTTTTAGAAAGTTAATATTATTTATTTGAGCCTGATTAATGGAAGACTCCAATCGCCCTATTTAACATCCAATGACAATGACTCTGACCGCTTTGTACAAAAATAGATGATCTCATTCCACAGTTTTCCGTATTACACTTCATCGACGAATTACGAAATGCCCACTGCTCTCTCTAAACCCTAAACTTCTTGAAGAAAAAAAAAAAAAGCCCACTCGGTCTTACGCTGTATCAGAGAGCTCTACCAGTGCTGAAAAGCATCACGAAGAAAATAATCCGCAAAAATAGTAAGTTTTTACCCTTTATTTTGCTGTTTATTAAGCAGATAAGCCCGTGACTTGTTAACTGTTAATTTTTATAAATTTCTATTTTTTTCATTTTCTCTTAATTTTTAATTTGTATTTTTTTTTTTTGGTTATTCTCAATGTAGGGATCCATTTATCAGTAACTTTTTTTTACTCTTTATTAAGCAGAAAAATTCTAAATTTGAGTTTTTCTGTTTTTCATTTTCTTTTAACTGTTAATTTTTTTTTTTTCCCTGGTTATTCTTAATGTAGGGATTCATGTTAATGATCTGGGGGTTTTTTGGTCTGTTATTTTTATTTATTTATTTATTTTTATTGCTAATATCACCATTGATGGATATTTGTACTTCTCTTAAAAACAATCACCTTCTGATAATCCTCAAATATAGAAAGGTGATTATTTTTTCTGATTTAGTTTTCTTTTTTTCTCTGTTAATCTCGCACTGTCTCTGTTTTCCAATTTTGGGTGATTTTCTGATGTTTGTGTTCTTTTTTTTATTTGTGCTCTTTATTTGTTATGGTGTGATAAATGTGCTCACACACTTCTTCATTTGCTAATGAATGGACCTGTAAATTAGGGTTTAATTCCATGGTGTATCTATACCATCATTTGTAGATCTCTTACTTAAGGTCTTGACAAAATTGCAGTGAAGGAGTAGCACCAGCGTGTTTTTTAGGGTTTTCTTATGCTTGTTCATTATTGCAATCTCTCTATATCGTCATTATTGGAAAAATTGCGGTGAAGGATTCGCCTCTCTCTCTCTCTCTCTCACATTTTCTCTTTGTCTCTTACTAGTTTCTGGGTTCGATAGTCATTGAATAATCTCCCTTCCCCAGCTTTAATGTAGCCTTTTCTTGCATATTAACTGTCAAGTGCACCATTTTTTTTACTGGTTTACTGAACTTCTAGTTTTTTATGTATGCAAATAGACCGTGTTCCCTGCATCACTGTTGTATCACACTTCTAGGCAATTTTTTTGAGTATCTAGTGCCTCGTGGATATGGGGTTTGGGAGTTGTTTGTCATTTTTTCTGTATTTTTGTCAACTAATCCATGTCGCATCCTTATTCGAGAAACTGCCTGGATGTCGTTTGGATGACATTTCACTTCATCCAGCAACCTTTTTAATGCCCTTTAGAAAATTTTTACTGAGTTATTGCGAAGGTTTTCTTCATTATGCTGCAAATTGTGGCAATACTCTATTATAAATATTAGCATGGCTGTGTATTTAAGAACTAGTACTTGATTTTGCTTCCAATGAATGGACATCTGGAACCTTGCTTGCTAGCTCTATTTCCCTTGCATTTCCTGTCACATTTCCAATTGGAATTTTTTCATGCATGGATCAATGCTTATTTATGAAGTTTATTGCATGAATCAGTAATCAATAATTTTGTATCGAGTGGTGGCAATATTGAATGGTTAGCTTCCAAACTTTTAAATATCTATTTCTTAATTTAATGATATATGTTTGCTCTTGAGGGCTGCCTGTGCATTGAGTGAAATTTCGATAATGAGAAAATCAATTTTCTTACTTCAAAAAAAGAGAAAAATCAAATTTCTTCAATATTTATGTAAATATTGGTATTCTTTGAATCTATTTACATGTTTGGTAATATGTTGGATGAATGGAAGGAATCTTATTTAATTACAAAATGTTATTAAAAAAACTGCATTTCTCACAGCATATCAATGAAATACATAATGAACAATATTACAGGTGGTTTCCAGCTTTCCCATTGTCAAACAGGTGAAATTACCAGCACCACAGTTTATCAAACAGGGTTTCCAGCTTTCACCCTGCCAATTTTCACCTGCATCCTAATATCTATAAAAGTCAACAGCAGGGGTGATTCCCAGGGACACTGCAATGAAAGTTATCAAACGCTACCTAAATAACTTGTCTTGAAACCTTGTATTTGGAAACCCTAGAAAAACCCCAAGGAAACTTCTCTGCTAAAAAATGGCTGCTTCTTCCTTAAGGTTATTGCAATCAAGGCTTCTTCCCTATTCTAGGGCTAGGTTTTTGATTTGGAGTTCCTCTGCACCTCATCAAGCTTCAAAGGAGCCTTTAATGGTGACTTCCTATACTCTTAAAGAACGCAATTTTCATGACGAGCGGCTCAATGCTTATCAATCTGAACAAGCAATGGATCAGGCTTCGAAGGAGCAAGTAATGGAGTCCTCTACCCCAACAAATGGCACGAAGAAGGGTTGGAGCTTTCTAAAGTTCTGTGTTTTCAGTGCCCTAACTGGTGGTGTTGGTGTTGCTTCTTATGCTACATATGGTAAGTTGATATAGTTTTGTCATAGTCTAATGGTCTCTTTTTTCAAAGTATAATATGGATTTTTTGAGTTCCATATCATTTCCCCCCCCCTGATTTGATGACTTGTTGTTTCTTTCAATCATTTATCTTTTGTATTATCAATTATTGTGTCACTTTATATTATTTTAATTATTCTTTGTTTTTCCTGTAAATCATTGTTATCTTTGCTATTATAACGTGGATTGAAAATGTGATAATTGACGAAGAACATGTAGCCATAATTCTATTTCCTGTTTCCCCAATCCTCTGTGAATTATTGTAGTGTTTTGTTAGTTTTTTGTTTTATTTTATTCTATTTGTTATTATACGGTGATTTAGTGAAGGTTTCCGCTGAATTTCTTTCATCAATTGGGATCATGCTTTCTTGGATGGTAATATTGCTTTGGTACATAAAGGTCACACAATTAACTTTGATCATTAGATGTGAAATTGGGCGGCTGCGTTTGTTCCATTGACCTCAAAAGAATTTTGTTTTTGGAATTTTACAATGTACCCAATCTGTCAGATTTTACATCTCATTGTTGTAGGGGATTGTGACCTCCTTGTACCAAAGGTAAATGATCTCATAGTATTCAATCCCGTTTTGTTTTTCTAGTTTCATATTAACCTAAAACTATTAAATAGTCAGTATTTCTCATTGATGTGGGGTCATTACTAATATTCAATTTGTGTTTATTGTAGAAGCTAAAGTTTTAATTAGAATAGTGGAAAGTTTCACGCATAGTTGTGATTAAGTTGATTACATGCGGTTAGTTTTTCTACTTCATTGTTTCTACTGTTTCTTTTTTGTGGATCTGTGGAGTTCCTTAGTGTTGTAGTCCCCCAATGATTGATTTGTCTATGTTATGTGAACTTTATGTTGGCGCGAGTTTGATTAAATTATGGTTTAAGAAGGTTTTCTTTTTTAGTTCTTTATTTTTCTGCCTGCATGGCTGAAGCGGGTTTTGTGATCCCTATTGAATAAAATGGAGATTTTTGGGAAATTGTGATTTTAACCAGATATGATGATTTAATTCTTTTAATTTCTCATCTTAATCAATTAACATTTAAAAAAAAATTTTCTCTTCTTAATCAACTGTTCTATCGTTTTCCTCTTTTTTGTTTGGTAGAAAATTAGGACCATGTTGATTTGAGCCAGTTTTTTAAACATATCGACTCTCTTTTATTTGCCATTTAACCTAACTTGGAAGATCCATGTTTGGACTTACCCTAGAAATGAGATATATTGTTTATTCTATTGATTTTTCCATGACATGTATTTTATTATTTCACTTCATTGCTTTCTTTTCATTGTTGTCATTTAAAGGAACTCTTGGTTTCTTTGATGTTAGGGTGTGTGTGATTTGTTGAGTCGTTTAAATTGTTATGGTGCTGTTCATTGCATAGTTACCGGAATCTCTTTGCTGACCCCGCGATTCCTGTTCGGAAACCGGATTCAGCGATTCTGTTAAGGAATCTTCACCGAAACCGTTTATCAGAACCATGGAATCTCGATTTCTTAATTTAGGAATCTCGTTGCAATACATCTTTTGAATCATGAACCCATTATTTATGGAGCGTCATTCCCAAATACATCGAATTGTGACTCCAACAAAGATTGAATCTTGAGTCCGTCGAATGATACATGATTCCACATGTAATAATTTTCATTTCCTTAGGGTTTTGAATCTAGAATCTACAACGTATAGTACATCGGTTCATAGGAGTAGGGAAGTGCGATTCAGTCAATATGGAATCTTGCTTCCATATCTTTTAGAAAAACAAAATCCTATTTTGTCTACATAATCCTATTTTGTCTAATATAATAATGAAGTCAAAATTACAATTTAGAAATACATATCTTATGTTTACAATTTTCCTTTTAGATTATTTGACCCTAAGATCAATAGTCAACACAGTCACTTTAAAATTTGCTTTACGAGTCTAATAAGAGACATCTGATATAGGTTCTAAAGTTGATAAGGCTCAATATGTGTATGGGCTTCCTACCTCCATAAAATTGAAATCTTGATTCCTAGTAGGGATCAAACGCATTCATTCCATACTAATGTAATCTTCGAATTCAAATTGGCATGTATCTTCGAGCCATATACGTCAGAAATGCGATTCCAAAGATGTTGGAATCTCTATTCTAATGTGCAACATATCTCTGTTCCACATGTGTCAAAAACTCGATTCCATAGATTTTGGAATCTTGATCCACATATCAATCAATCTTGACTCCTTGAGTGTCAATCCCAGGGGGTGGGAATCTCGATTCCAAATGTGGACGAATCGCGAATCTATTTTGCTCGAAACGTGATTCCAGTAAATTAGGAATCTCGTTGCCCACAATTCCCATGGTATGGACATCGATACCTAAAATAGGAATTTTCTAGGCTGCTGCGATTATGTGATTCGGATTCGTGAAACGATTCGGGTTCCTAGGCGTTTACAAAAATTATGGTTCATGGTAACGAACTTGCTCCTTTATTGTCAAAAAGGATCATGTGGAGAATTTCGTGTTGATAGTATAAAGTGTAGAAATGGGATATTTTTATTGTCATTGAAAGGAACTCTTGGTTTCTTTGATGTTTTGCTAAAAATTTTTGGGTGTGATTTGTTGAGTTGTTTAAATTGTCATGGTTCTGTTCATATTGATGATCTTGCTCCTTTTGTTGTCAAAAAGGTTCATGTGGATAATTTCGTGTTGGTAGTATAAAATAAATGTTCTTACTGTAGTGATCCAGCAATATCTTTATTTCATAAATTAGCTAATTGTTTTGCATTGAGCTTTCTTTCTTTCAATTTTTTTTTGTGTTCTAAAGCTCCCAAATAGTTATTTAGGTTTTTGACTATGTCTTAGGTAGGAAGAACAAAAATATTTGGAATCCAGTGATTGAAAGGCTAGTAAAATTATGTGGGCCATGGAAAGAAATGTCTCTCTCTATTGTGGAAGGATCACATTGATTAATACAACATTGAGTTCCATACGATTTATTATTGCATCTCTTTTCCAAGTATCCAATGCCAGCGTTTAGAAAATCGACTTGGCTAAGGTACTAGGGCCTTGGCCAAGGCGATTTACTCGGGCAAGCTTTTTTTTTTTTTTAAGAAAATGAATATAAATTCTAGTTATATATAGTGCAAGTGGCACTTTTTATCATTAAGCCTCATATGGGCATGTTGGTTATTGCTTCCGCTATAAATTGACCTCTTAACAAGAGGTTGTGGGATCCACTTTCGTGGAGGCCACTTGTCTTATTAAACGTCAAAAGGAAAGATGTTTTAAAAGTAGTGTGTAAAAAAGGTGCAAGCAGCAGGATTGGAACCTTGATGGGTTCAACTTACGTGTAAGTAACAACCAAAAGGACATTTTAACCTATCTGATATAAGTTGGAGGTTTTAATATAATTAAACTAAAACAAATGGTGTACAACCACCTCACCTAAAACTCGCCTCGCCCACAGAGTGAGGCCAAGTTACTCAGCCAAGTCTCAGAACAATACCTAGTGCCATGATATGGAATTTTTATGGAAGTGATACTCTTACGACTTGGTGAAGTGGGAGGAGTATGCATGCCTAAGCAAGTTCAGGGGCTTCGGGTCAAGCAAGTTTAGGGGCTTAGATTTAAGCGCCTAAAATAAAATATACAAATAGTAAAGTTTTGATTGGGAAATGGCATTAGTGCTTCATTACTAGGACAATCACTTAGAAATATGGTTATCATTGCCAAATATGGAAATGAGAGAGAGGGATGGAGAATATACTCTTCTAGCAGAGAACTTAGGATGTTTGACCTTGGAGGGCCATCAATTTAAAAAAATCTCCAAAAGTAGATCCAAACTCAAAAGGGAGATGTTTGAATCGATTTATTAAAACTTTGAGAAATCGTTCGATCTTATAGAAATCACAAAATCTGAAGTTTTTGAAGTTTTACTCTCTCTAAAATAGTTCAAATTGGGTTTAGGTTGCATATGAACCTAAACTTCTACAATCTAAATATTGAAAAAAAATGCCGCTTTATGAGGGGCATTTTTCGCCCATGGACTAGTCGCAGGCTTTGGGCAATTGCTAGGGTTGGGTAGGGTGGCGGCCCAGGGAGCCCGCCTAGGCGTGAGTGATGTGCTCAGGACCCCTTGGTCCACCTAGGCGCTAAGCGGGCCACTTTTTTAATCATTGCTTTACGTATCCATGGAACTGACCTTGACAAACTTGTACGACCCAACTTGGAGGGGTGCTTTCTCGGTGAAATCATGTACCAAATGTTATTTTGGGGATTTGGTCCCAATTATAGTCACCTGAATCATGTATCGAGGTCGTGACGCGATTCTGCGAATCCCAGGATGAAACACGATTCTGGAAGATAAGAATCATGTTTTCAAGTTTCTCGAAATGTGTACCAGGTTATTATTAGAATCTCGATTCTTGGAAGCTTGGAATCAAGACTCCATATCACAGAATTTGCGATTCATAGTTGCACAACAATGCGATTCAATGGGTACGAGACGTTGATTCCAATTTTTTAGGAATCACAAATCCATGTTCTTTTGGAAGCTAGATCCATATCGTCAAAAGGCACGGTTAGTAGATACACTAAACAATGTTCCGATCAACATTGAATCATGTTCTAATGACACAAAATGAAGATTCAAAGGCAAATGTTGAATGAAGTATGCTCACAAATTGTTTGTTGTCGAAGGAGCTCCAAGAACCCATTCTATGTTACTAGAGGAGTTCTAGGAACCCTTTTGTATCATATTATATTTTTATACAAGGTTATTACCCATTATTTAGGTTTTGGGACCATGATGTTGTGAGAGCCAAAAAGCCTTAATAAACTTTTGAGATGAATCCATGTATAATAATCTCTGCCTAGTTACCCAACACATTTATCAATCTATAACTCATGTAGTTGGTGGCAGCCCCACCTCAAGGTAAGACGTTCCTATTGGATGCTTGCAATAACCAAATGCTTATTATTGATGTTAAAAAAAAAAATATTGATGCTTATTAAAAGAATTTGTTACTTCAAATTTAATAGTGTTACCCTAGGGGTTGGTTTGGGTCAAATTTGTCCTTAAATTGGAGAAATTCAATTAAAATCAAATTACTCACTTTTAAAAACTACATTTAATAGAGATTGAGAATTTCTATTTTATTTTATTGGTTTTATAAACTCCAAGAAAGGATATAGAGGAGCTTGACCTTGTTTTCATTAGTTGTGTGGAGAGTTATGTTAAAGGGCTCTTGGTAGACCGAGTCCATTGCATGATAGTGTTGACAAAGATATCGATCCGCATAATACGGTTGCCCTTGGTAATTGTACTAAAAGTATGGACTTCAGATTTCAAGCTTGTAAAAAATGTAAAACTTTAAATCTTTCATCGCAAAATACTTCTCTCATTTACTGGAGGGGATTGGTGCGCGATTCCTGAATTATGGGAATTTTGAATCCAAGTTGATGGGACAACAATTCTAGTAATGTAGAAATCACGATTCCTATTTCATCGGATTGCGATTCCGGAGGCCATTAAATGGTGTGGGGTCATGTGCAATTCCTGAAAGGTAGGAAACTCGATTCCAGCATGATGGAATACCGATTCCTACATATAGGAACCTCGATTCCTATTTTATTGGATCGCAATTCCGATTATTTGGAATCATACCTCCAACTATTTTCATTGTACTGCGGCGATTCCGAGATTAGGAATCATCTGATACAAGTGATTCAGATTTCTGAAGTGAATCGGAATCACAAGTGTTTCCAACAAATACATTGAAAGGGTGGCATAACCAACTAAGAAATGTTTCTTTTCCTTTTTTTATTGTTACAAGAGGAAGCTGCTAAATCAAGCTGCCCAGAGGCATACAAACTGAGACATATACAGTTAGGGAAAGAAAACCAAAACACCAATGCATCATGAAGGATCTGGGAGGCACGGTCCTACAAATAGGGTACTCCTATGGGTCTTTGGAATAGAGGCTCCATCCAACAAATCTTCAAAGCTTTGTGGTCTTCGAAGTGCCACCCCAGGAGGCACGGTCCTACAAATAGGGTACTCCTATTGTCCTCATGTACTAGTGAATCCACTAGATCGTTACCTATTCGTGGGATATGCTGAAAAGTAATGAGCTTATTTTGATCCATGATGTTGGATAATCTCCATGGGGGTTCAGCTCCCTCTCAGCCCATCAAATAATGTCGAAAAGAATCTCCTATCACATGGAGAGGACCTGTGAAAGATTTGAAAAAGATGTTGCACCCTTGTGAGAAGGCCCAATGCTCAGCTCATTGGACCTCTATATTCATTGCAAATAAACATGGTCCATAATAACTCCCCAAAGAGCTGATGGACCAGGATTACAAATGGAGCTCCCACCAAATTAAGCTTGAGCACTTCTAATGGGGGCTTACTCCATAGCGTATGGACAGGGTTTTCCAGGACCCATCACAACCTTTTATCTTCTTACCAGATCTACTACTCGTAAACCCAAAACTCTTTACTAGCCAATACATCATCACATCCCAAAATCTAGTACCCGTAGATTTAGCTTTGGATATTTTTCCTCACGGATTCACTTGTTTCATTCTTATCAAATACCCATAGGATAGCAGGAAAGGTAAGCCTCCAGAAAATAATGGCCTTCTATATGGATGTGCAGAATTTCCAATTGAAGAACAAACCCCAAACTGATTTAGGACAGAACCCAAGGTATCCCAAAGAGATTTCTCTTTAGCATGTTTGGCCAGATCATCCTAGCAAAAGGGCAATGCAGGAACAAGTGGTCTACCCTTTCTTTTGTGTCACGGCACAAAAGAAAACATTAGGTAATTGTGTATGGGGTATGGGATATGGGGTTGGAGCTTTGTCTAACACATCTAGCCAGCATTAATTCATAGCATAACAATCTAGGGATTGCTGGGGTCAAACCATATAAGTTCATACTTTTCTTTTCACATGCGACATTGGTTCATCTGTCTATTTACTAAATAAGGTTATTTACAATCACAGCATGTACTCTGGAAGAAGTGGAACAAAAGACAGCTGCACTACGGAATCCAACAAATTACACTGTCGATGGTGATGGTTCGATCTTCAATGTGAGTGGAAATAAAAGTTTTTTTTTATTGTTGCAAATACAATAAAAATTATTTTTGATCTTTGTGGAAAAACATATCTTTAATTGGAAATTAAAACTAATTTTCTGCTTGTATTGAAATAAAAGCTATTTTATGCTTCTGCTTTTGCGCAGTACACTGTTTGCATTCTTGTCTTGGTTTGTCCTTGCAGGATATAATTAGCCATGCAGGGTGTGATTAACCTTAATTATTATATTTTTATCTGAAGATAAACAGCTTGTTAACCCAGATTCCTTTTCATAAGTAAACGAAGGTGAACTTAACTTCCATCACTTAGATGGATCAATAAAAACATGGATTTTATCACATAATTAGCTTGTGCTGCATGGGTTCAATGTATATTAGCTTACATTCCTTCACCCAAATTTGGGTGTTTCTACATTTTGTGCCAAAATGCAATTGATGAATAACATTCATGCAATTGATGAATAACATTCTGATTTGGAAGCGAATATGTGCTTTTGCACCCATTAAAGGTGTCACAGATTGGGGAAAGATACGACTGCTCAAATTTCACATGAGGATCTCTTTCTCTCTCTCTCACTCACACACACACACAAAACAGCACAAGTATGCACATGGACGCTTTTACAAACATGTGCTCATGTGTGTGCACAGACGTGCATAATTGTACACAAGCGTGTAAGGAAATTTTTCATTCTGGGTGCTTGTTGGACATTTCATGGTTTTCATTCATCTCATGCTACTAGGTTGGGGATGAGAGGAATATAACTATATGCGAGTGGAGAAGGGAGAGGTCGCTCTTTAAAATAGGGCATGAAAGGACAATTTAGCCCTTAATTTGTAGCCAGGGCAAAATGTTGGTATGGGGATGTTATGGAAGAGATTGGCATGACCTGCAAATTTTTGGTTGGTGTTTATTATCGAGAAAAGCAATTTTTGAAAATTAGGGATTAGAGGAATATAACTTCTCATTCATCTCATGCTACTAGGTTGGGGATGAGAGGAATATAACTATATGCGAGCGGAGAAGGGAGAGGTCGTTCTTTAAAATAGGGTATGAAAGGACAATTTAGCCCTTGATTTGTAGGGTATGAAACGACAATTTAGCCCTTGATTTGTAGCCAGGGCAAAATGTTGGTATGGGGATGTTATGGAAGAGATTGGCATGACCTGTAAATTTTTGGTTAGTGTTTATTATCAAGAGAAGCAATTTATGAAAATTAAATTGACTCAAAATAAGGGTGAGGATTTTAAACTTTCCCTTAACCCGTCCTAAACTCAGGTAAAGGAGGTGGGGTTGCATTAGGTAGGCAGCCAATATAAAACTTTACCACATCTTATCATGAGTCCCGATTCTTATTGATGGTATGACCTTTGGCAAAGAATAATGGAGGAACCAGATTCATGGAGCCGACCCCAAATAGTTGGGATAAGGCTTGGATGATGACATTTTGTTCCACAACATACATTTGTCATGTGAATCTGCCCTTCTAACACATAAATGTTATCTATATGGCTTGAAAACTCCACTGAAAAAGGATCAATTAGGTATTATGTACATGTTTTATAAAGCTCTATGCTCGGTAACAAAGCCTTCATCCTCCCACCCACTACACCCAAAAAAAGACGCTAAATAAAAATCATTTGTTCTCGCATAAAAACCAGCAAGAAATGTCAGTCTGATCCACATTTCCACAGAATCCCATATGAACTATCTCCCCGCATCATTTAACTCCTTGTTTAAAATCACCCGGATAAGAATTGGTAGGTCCCCAATCGGTTTTCCCTGAATCAATTGGCCCGTTTTTTTTTTTTAAAAAAGGTGATTCTTTATAATTAATTACCTTATTTCTTATGTAAAGGTCGGGAACCACCTGATCCTCAAGAATCTTGCAATTCCATGAAATTCAATATTGGGGATTCTTTTCCCCTTTTGAGCCCCTATCGCCAACTTACCCATACTGTCTTATATTTCACTTGTTTTGTCTCAAATTTGGTGCATTTCGATTGTTTCACTATAATATTATTATAAAAAAGTTTTGGATCAAAAACCCCAAATCACTGAAATCAAATGATTGGCATATGGGAGTTCTCTACACCAATTTTTTATTTTGGGTCAGATTCTTGATTTTTGATTTTGAAAGCAAATGAATCAGACGTGAGGGGAAGAAGAAAGCCTTCCTTGTCAAAAGTGCCATTTTGGTGGAACTTTTGGGCAGATTTGAAATCTACCTTTTTTTGGTTGATTTTTTTGGCATATTCCAGAAACAGGAAACAGATTTCGATGTTTTTTATTGGAATCTGTTTTAAAATCAAATGTTTTGAATCTGTTTTGATTGAAAAAGAAATTCAAACATATTCAAATAATTCTGATTTAGATATGATCAGTTCAACTGAAGAAAAAAATTCAATTTTAGATTTGAAAATCAATTTAAAATCAATGGTTTGAATTATGAATTTTCAATCTGTTTTTCCTTCAATTTGACGTAACTCTGGTCAATTTGATTTAAATCTAATTAAATTGATTTCTTTTCTGATTTAAGCAATCATTTTTTGGTTTCATTTAAATCTGATTCTTCAGTATCAGATGAAAAATTGTTTAAATCTGATTTAAGCAATTATTTAAATATCAAACAATTGTTCTAAGCATGCAAGCTTTAAATCTATTTTTTAATTTTTTAAATTTTTTTAGTTTTTTTGCCGAATGAAGCCAACTCTCCCGAGCCAGAATGGAATCATTGATCTGACTTGGTACAAAAAGGGCATGAGTCATTCTTGCTTTGGGATTTTTGAGCACTGATCCTAACCATCTGAATAATCTGCACTTTCAATTACTTTCTCTCCTTCATTTCTTCTCGATCAGTGGACAATTGTTTCTCCTTAAAACACTGCAGGCTACCTTGTTGCTCATATCCCTTCCCACACTACTGCCATCAAACCAATAGACTTTTGCATCCCCAGAGGGCATAAATTTCTTTTCAGGAGTAGTTAGTCTTTCATAGGAAAATTTAATGGAGGAAATTGTTAAAAATTTAGATAAAAAACTTGATAGATGGTGCCACTCATGACACTACTTTTGTTTGATTTTCTTGGCTTCCTTATGAGTACCATGTGGTTCGGCTTCCCCTGATGGACTACTCCCCAATAGAGAGTCCAACCTGTGTTCCACCCTATCTTCTTAAACACTAGTCACCCTCAAAAATCCTAAAAGACTAAAAGGATCTGGTCATCCAGTGAATTGATCTATCCAGCTAACCTCCTTTTGCTATCACTATCAAATACATAAAAGCAGGTCTCTACACTGTTTCCCCAGCCCTTTCTAAGAGTAGCCTTCTATTTCTGGCCTCAATGGTTGGTATTCTTTCTAGTATTTATGCAACCTCTTTTGTAGTCCCCTTGGGATCACAATTCTGTTAATTTCTGCATCTTAAGTTGAATTTCATGGAATGCCATTCAGATTAGATGTGTCTCCATAATTTTAGAATTGACAAAACATCAGGAGACTTATTCAAATTGACTTGCTGTTGAGATTCAATTGAGTCAGGCCTATTATCCATTGAACCTGACTCTGATCAGGCTAGACTAATCCCTAACTGGTCTTGACTCAGCTTTAGCATTACCGAATGTGCCCATAAGTCATGGCATGTGAGTCCGCATAACCCACTACATATATGAGCCTGCTTTGAAATCAAGATCACAAGATTGGTGATGTTAAGCTTGAAAAAAAAAAACAGACTTGTGGTGTTATTTTTCTAAGTTATTTGTGTTTAAAGCACCTATGAGGTCTATATATGGGATTTAAAGAAAAATAAAGTAATGTATATGGCTGGTTGATCACCATGAGTCTTTAAACGGATTTTATGGGCTCGCAAGCAAACTTTTCACAGCGGTAAGCTTTTTCACAGTGGTATACCTTTTCACCGCGGTGGACAAGTTTTTCACCACATGATTTTTTCACCAGAGTGAACAAGCTCACTGCAAGCTTTTGCAAGCTATGAGCTTGCTTTTCTTTTGTGGCCTGTCCACTTTTATGCATACTATTTTGTTTATCTTTAACTATTCACTTTTATATTTTAATATTAGTTTGGAGCCTCCTTTCTCCTTAAAGAAGGGCTTGGCGACACGTTATATTTATGTGGCCTTCTAATATTTAATGTGTCCATTAACTTACACATTTCATGTCCTCTTTTCATACATCACCTAATTATGATAATTACATAATTTATTTTATATATATAAAGGAGTGAGGGGAAGGTAAGAAAAAGTTTTAAGGAAAATGATTTCTTCTCTTTGGAATTTTTTGTAAGGTACGGTAGCAGGAAACAAGGACTTCAAGGAATCAATCTCTAAGATCCGAAAATTCATTTGAGGTCTTTTGACATGTGTAGTATCAAATTGAGGTCTATTGACTGTGTATTCAATTTGACAGTAAGATCAGTAAACAACTGTGATTTTAAAGATATTCAAGAGTTCAGCTCGAAGTTCTTTCGATTCATTTTACTCGGGGCGGTTGTGTCTTGGGAGTCAGCTTGTTGGGACTGAATTGCACCTTGGAATTTTCCGAGTCGGGGTGTTTTAATTTCTTGGACCTCCCCTGAGAAATTTTGGCTTGTATCTGGTGGAGCATTTATGGTTAAAATAAGCCATGTCATCTCCAAGATCTTTGGGGGTCATATGGCAAAACTGACTTTATCATCATTTTGGTCACCATCTTCTACCATTTTTTACTCTTAAGGTTTTTGTACTTTGTTTATTTTGGTCAATACTAACTCTCCAATTTGTGAAATTGGTTTTTTAGTGCTTGCGCACTTGATGATTACTACCTTGTTGGGTTTTTTTTTTTTTTTTTTTAAACAATTAGTTGTGTTACTGATTTTAATATTTGAGATGTTCTGGTTTTACTTTTGAAAGAACAAAAGTTTCATTTCAATATTTGAAGATCATTGGTCTACTTAAACAACAATTGGAGCATGTCATTTCCTAATAACCTTTTTTTGTCCATTTTTTTCTTGAATTTTGTTTTGAATGCTTCGTGTAGCCGACCCCAATTAGTTGGGAAAAACCTTTGATGATAATGATTTTTGTTTTGAATGCAACTTGGAACTTACCTTATTATTGTATAATTTTAATTACTTGTTATCTTCTTCAAACTGTATGAAGTTGGTAAAACAATAAATGCATGATTGCACAAGGATGCTTATGGATTCTCCCTCATTTATTAAAAGGATGTGGTCTGTGTTCTCCAGCATTTGTTACTTATATAGTGTCTATTATCATATTATCTTGTTTATAATGGAGCATGATTGAATGTCTTTCATCTTCCGTTAGTAAAACATATGCGACAATGTTAATTGTTTTGCCAATTTCACTTTTTTGATATTTAACCCTGCACAAACTTGTCAATTTTCATTAAAATGTTTTTTTCTTTCTTTTTCATATATCATATTTTACTTTTAACAACATATATGGAAGTGAGCATATGAAGAGTTTGCACTTCCTTTGAACAGAAAATGCAGGCTTCCTTGTACAATGCAGCTGTGACAGGTGAATATCAATTTCGTTTTTAGCTTCAATATATTCTTTATCTGTATCATTTCGAGTAACTGTTCTTTTTGTTCTACATCTTTTGCTTTACAGTGCCCGCCAAATCTATACAACTGTACTTGGATCTCAGGAAGTCCATTGAAGACCATGTTAAGGTTATCATTACTGGCTTTTCTGTTTTGTTTGCTTCTTTTATGTTTTTGCTTTTATGCGCATGCAGAAAATTCTGTGTATATGATACTTACTATAAGTAGGTGTTCTGCAATAGGAATTTACTGAGCCATCATCAGAGAAGTTACTTCCAGATATATTACCTATTGATCAACATAAGTTCACTTTGGTATTGGACCTTAATGAGACATTAGTATACTCTGATTGGAAGGTGAGCATAATTTTTATATGAACTTCAAATCCCATGGTTCTTAAACATATAGAAATCTATTGCAATTTGATCTACTGTATATTTATTAATTGCTGTTCTCATTATTTCCATAGTATGGGTTACTTAGGGCCTAATTATATGGTCTGCTACAAACGAAATTTTGGAATCCTTGTTTTATAGCGTGAAAGGGGCTGGAGGACATTTAAAAGACCTGGAGTAGATGATTTCTTAGAGCACCTTGCTCCATACTATGAGATAGTTGTGTATTCTGATCAGCAAAGTGTGGTAATGTACTGACCATCTATTTTTCCTATGTTGCTCCCATGATCTTTATTGTTTTCATGATTTGAGTTGTTCTATTATTATATGTTGTGTATCCTAATTGTTATTCTCCGTCTTGCAGTATGTTGACCCTATCATTTCAAGGCTTGATCAAAAGGGTCTTATAAGATACAGGCTTTCAAGAGCAGAGACCAAATATGTCGATGGAAAGCATTACAGAGTATGTCACAATCTATCTGATAAGCCATTTTGAGTTTGCAGCAAATAATAATTTTAGCTTCAACTTTGTACTAAATTACCCTTGCCATATATGGTACGTAAACTCGGGGACTGGGTAAAATGGTCACTGTAAAAGGAAATTGAGGTATTCTGTTACTTTCATGAGATTTCACATGCAGGTGATCTATAGAACTGTCCTGGTATTTTTCTATTTTCAATGATGATGCAATCCTAGACAACTTATGAGTTGTAAATCACTAGAGATCCTGTGATTTTTACTTTGTGATAGCACCCCCACAATTTTGCATTAGAAGTTTATTAGTGCATTTGTTCGTGACTGTTGTGTGTTCATGTGCACTTACAGTATTTGTGGAAAAATTTATGATTTTTTGTTCCATTTGATATTAGGACTTTTGTAAGTTGAATAGAGATTCTTCACGAGTGCTATATGTTAGTGGGCATGCATTGGAGAACAGTCTTCAACCTGAAAATTGCGTGCCTATCAAGCCATGGAAGCTTGAATCAGATGACACACAACTTTTAGATCTTATACCTTTTCTGGAATGTAAGTTTAACCTTTGTGTTTTCCCTAATGTGCATGTGAACATTACTTTTTTGGTCTTGTAATGTATATATGTTTATCCATTGAAGATGTTGGGAGCCATAAACCAGCTGATATAAAGACAGTTCTTGAAACATATCAAGGTTGTGATATTGCAAAAGAATTTCTTGAGCGTAGCAGAAAGCATCAAAGGTGCGTTTTATTCTCTCCTTATGCGACTACAAGTTAAAATTCTATGTTTTATTGTAGCTTGTACCTTCAACCTATTCCTACTAGATATGTTCTGCTTAAGACTGCGTTTTTTTTCAATGAAAGATACAAAGTTACTACGACTTTTGTGGTGTTCCCCATAGTTCAACCGGTCCAAAGTTACAACGGAGTCCTACACGCAGCAGTTGTCGTCAATACAGCAAACACACAGCATCATCTTTCATAGTGTGTAAGAATGAGCTTTTGGCCATTTTCCAACTAGGGAATATTTCTATCACTCGAAAATTTACCTTGCTTCCGCTCGATCTTTGTGATTTTCGATCTTATTTATGCATTTTCTTGATTTTTTCTGTGTTTTTGTGTTCGTTCTTTCTTTTCCTAAAGAAATGCAGGGAGTCGGGGATGCAAGGGTGTGTAAAAGATGCTTAATTTTTCCAATAGTCTTCTTGGAGCTCTTTTGAGCTTTTTTGCTGAGCCTTGGAAGCATTAATCCACATTGCCTGTTTTTGATAGAGAACTTGGGTTATTTTTCTTATTTTCGTGTAATGGCACTTGTTTCATTTGGTTTCAATTTGTCTCCAAGTTTCTCATAGCTTGATTCAACACCATTTTGGGGCATACATGCTTTAAACTTTACAAACTATGAATCATCAGCTCTCTCTCGTTCTTTCCCCATACATATTGACATGTACACCATGTGGATAGTTGCATGTGCATGATTTCTTTTTTTTGGGTAAGTATATATGCATGATTTCTTCCATCTCTATATATGCACAATGCATAATGCTTTAGGCATATGCAAGGAACAATATTCTGATTTCATAAACGTCAAAACTAATCATGAAGCCGATTTATGCAGGAGGTGGTCTGAGCAGAAGGTGCAGGGTCGCTTTTGGAAATGGGGAAGTTAAACTAATGGGATGTTTCTAAACGTGAAAATCATATACGAAGCAAAATGGACTTTGCAGATTTATGAGCAGTTTGATCGTGGGACAAGGATTCTAATGGATCTTATGTAGGTTGGAATTTCCATTCCTAGTACATGAAGGCTTGTATTTCGGCCTTGAAGGTGTAGATGCTGTTTTTCTTTTTTTTCTTTATTATTTTCCGTTAACTGCTTTTCCAAGCATGAATGTTTCGACAAGTGTTGGTGTCTTTTGTCCTGTTTTCCATTCCGTTTTTGGGGGGAGTTAGGGAAAGGGTGCAGATGGAACTATTTGGTCTTGTGATTAAATTTTGATCTTATGATTAAATTCGTTTATGTAACTTATATAGGAAATTTTGGCACTTTTGTTCCAATATGGAAAAAAATTTGAAACTTGAGAAGCATGGAACTGAATCGTGAGAGTGACATGCGCATGCATGTCAAGAGGGTTATTATATGGGAAAGATTTCTATAATTCCCCTATTTTATAGAAGGTATATACTCCCCTCTCCCCTAACACCCTCCTGCCGTCCAATTTACATCAAGTGAGCCATTGACCGTTTGATCTAAGATCCGACACTTCAGAGTATTTTATTTTTAATTTTTTTTTACAGATTATGTGCCATCACCTCAATGCACCTTAAAAATATTTTCAATAAAATATAATGATCAAAATATCTTTGAAATTTTTTAGAGGAATTTTGGTCATTTTATTTTATTGGGAATATTATTTTAATATTTTTTTTTACAGGTGCTAGCTTAAGAGAGGAGTGGAAGGCTAAAATTTGGTGTTACAATGTTTTGTAGGGAAAAAATTAAAAATAAAAATGTAGAGGCGTGATATTGTGACATCTCAGTCATTCATTCAGAATGGACGGTTAGATAGGGAGCAGTATATAAGTTTTATACAGTAGGGCAAGTATGAAAAGCTGGCTTTTTACACTCCTTTTGGTTTGACTCCATTTGCTTTGAATGGAAAAATAAACTTTTGACAATCTAACTAAAAACATGTGGGGATCATTAGTGGTGACAATGGTTTGAGTTGGGTCGACCTGGATTTGGACCCGACCTGACTATGCTTTACATGGACCTGAACCTGGACTCCAAAATATGGATCCATACCTGTTTTAGATTGACCGGCTGGCTCCACCAAAAAAGTACTCGCTTTGGAAGAGAATAAACCCTTTACTAGAGGATTTTGACGAGGTATATGAATACTTTTGTCATGCATATTTGTGCATAGTATTCTTTTGCCATTTTTTTGGGTATCTTCAGTTCATTATACTTGTGTCGCTGTTTATTCTTATCCATTAATAGCAGTTCCCAATGAGATGAATGCTTATCCACAGTTCTTTCGTGATCATTTATTTAATAGCTTAATGCCAAGCTACAAACTGCCGCTGATACTTCTTATTGAACGTCCATTAAAGGAATGCTATTAAAATATATTTATTTATTTGTTTTCCTATTAAAAGAAAAATATAAAAATATTTCTTTAACAATCTTCATTAAGTTGTTGAAAGAAATTGAGTCATCTGAAATTAGGGAATTTTTTGTAAATATTCCAAACAATTTGCTTAGTAAGGCACATCTTTAAATAGTATCAAAAGATGTTTCAGTACCCAAATCATTATGATGACCTGAAAATTTATTTTCAACTCTAATTATAAAATTTATAGCTTCAAGAATAGTGTAGGTCTACTTGATCTTTGAACACTTGAAAATCGTGAAAATTGACCGTCTAGATAATGCATTTTGAGATGCATTATTTTCAAGAATTTAAGTCTTTTTTTTATGTCCATGTATCTCAAGGTCGAGACCATCAAATTTGAGGTTTTTTCAGCATCAAGACAAATTCTTCTAGTGAATTTATGAGGTGCGCCTTAATTTGATTGATTAGGTCCTCAATCTATATAACCTTTTTATTTTCTTAAAATACCTTGGTCAAGTTTCTAACTGGGGTCTTCTTTATTCTTTTCAAAGAGATTGGCCAGAAATTTGAAGGCTGAAACCAATTTTTTCATGAATGAATTGGTTCAAGATCTGAATTGATCGTTAATCGAAAAACAAGTGTGGGTTGTCAGCGTTCGAAACTTCAAGTTCCTGCCCTAAATGGTTTTTTATATGTTTAAGGTAGCTATTCCAATGCAGCATTGAGAGACCACATTATAAACTTAATCTCTTGAATAAAAGACATATTTAAATGCAAATTTGAGAAAATTCAATTTATTAAGAAGGAAAAAGTGTATTATATGGTCCATAGAATGACCCTAAAATAAAAGCAGTTACCACAGAGTATTAGTGAGTGCAAATCAGGCGACGTAAATTGCTGCATAGTGCATTTTTTGTGTAACTTTTTTTTTTTTGGGTAAGTTAATGGGGGGGGGGGAAAGAAGGCCTCCTACCCGATTTTGGGGTGGGGAAAGGCCTCTTATCCGATTTTTCATTAATAATGACAGAAAATACTACTCATAAATTTACAACCCTAGAGTAAGGCATTTATGCCATATCATGAAGTAATGCAAAAAAAAAATCTAGAGCTCTAGATCGTCAAATAGTGGCATATGAAAAAACTGTGACTTTCTTAGTGAATGTATCAACTACCATATTAGCCAAATGTAATCTTTTTTTAATTGTGGGGAGGTATTGTAAGACCTGCACTTGTAAAATGTAACGTTTTTATTTACACCTTTGGGATCCATTTTAGAACAACATATGATTATTTCTAAAAAGGAAATTTTGAATTTAAATCTAAATTTGTAAAATGCGGCTGTATAGTGCTTTTTGTGGCTGTTTCATGGCCTTAGGCGAAATATGCACTATTTAGGGATGAGCCTGCATATGCGGTTCATCCCGCCATATATGCAAGCACGCTGCATACATTGCCAGGCTCGTGGGCGAAAATAATGTCCATGAGCATGGGCAAGCCTTAGGCGGAAAAGAGGGGAAGGGTTTAGGGAAATACAAAACCCACCCAAACCCCAAAAAAAATAGCCATGGTGCCTAGGTAGACTTCTAGATCTAGGTCAATGAACTTTAGATCTACAAATTCCAACAAGCAAGAGGCATCTAAAAGGAGATGATGGTACAATAAGGGCGGATTGATCCAAGTCCAAAACTCTAGGTTCCTTAAGGTAAGTATCTCTTTTCCTCCATTTAATTTAGTTTATTTTTCATTAATTAGTTTACTTTCTCAACAAATTTTTTGTTATTTATTATATTAGTAAATTTTACAAGTTTTTTTAGGCAATATACACAGATCATGAAGCTGGTGCGACCAATGGACTCAGAGAAGAATCGGATCTTAACAGATCTATATCGTTTATGAGCCCACAATTTAAACGATAACTTAGTTTTGTAATGATTTGAGTTGATCTCTCTCCGAGATCGATGCAAATCCGAGTGTAAATAGTTTGGCATCTACTGTGGGGCCGTTGAGCTTAAAATCCAAGTATTTTTTCTTTAAAATACATCCCCGAAATTTTACAGTAGCTATTTTCTAAAAAAACAAAAAATTTAGAAGATGAAATAAATAAAAAATTTACAAAAGACCCCAAAATTTTGATCCGGGGCTCAGTGCTATGCACAACATAAAATGTGTCGCGCAACATGGCATGTCCCGTGTCGCACGTCAATCGCACGAGGCACCATGTGTCATGCAGCATGACACAGTTTCGTGTTGTGCGGATTGCACGGGAAAATTTGGACAGCCCATCTTCTTGTTTTTCCCCAATTCTTGTGCTTTTTGGTACTTCCTGATTACTTGTTTTTTTTTTTTCTAATTTCGAAAAATAGAAAGATAATAAAAACCGGCTTTCTAGATCTTGTCTTGCTTTTACCTCACCATATTCGATTTTGCCTTATCTGAATGCTTTGGGTTTGTCTTTATCCCTTATAGAAGAATTTTTATCTTTATTGAAATATAAAAACTAAAACGATACAAAGAAGAAGAAAAAAATTCAGTAAAAACTAAAACGATAAAAAATGAAAAAAAAATTAAATTTTTTTTCTCTTATCTTCGTTTTTAGACTAAAAGAATATATATTTTTTTTATATTAGATCTTCTCTTTTCTCTTGAGAAAGGTCCTAGCTGCCTCTCGTTTTTCCTAAAATTCGTTGGAGCAAAACAAAAAGTCGTGGAATTCTGCCTTAAATTATCAATTACGCCATCCTTAAATTATCTATTACGCCATCATCCACACGTTGCTTTCAAGATAAAAGAGAAGATTTCTTTATTATTGCGTAGTGCACACGTTGTTTGTAAGTTATTTAGGGCCACTCACAAGACAGTTGACCCCAAGTCAATGGAATAGTGTCACCAATCATTGTTGGATGAATTTTTTCGACATCAAATTTTGATATCCATTTTATAATTTTTTAAAAAGAATTTAGTTTTGGCAAATTGTTTTATGGGGCTGAACCGCATTTCCATATATGTGATCCAAAAAGTGTATAGCACCCATTTTAAAGATAGAGACAAGTAGGTTTTAAAATGGATGTATGTAGGTGTTTCATCTAAAACAATGGAAACTAATGGTTCAAAAGTTTTCTGATTTTATTCTTTTTTTTTTTGTTTTTTTGAAAAGATGACAACTTTAAAAGCAAACTACTTCCTTTCTTTTTTTGTTTTTGTTTTTGGAAAAATGGAAAAAGTCTTAAATTTCCCTTTTTTTAGCGTTTTGAGCGCCTTGTGATCACATGGACTTATGCTTATTCATGTCATGCGCTTACTTTTCGTCATAACACTATGCTCTTTTTTTCATCGTAGCTATGCCCTTTCTTTTGAAAAAAGAGACGGGCCTTATAGTTTATCCACGTGTGGCCCTTTTGATGGAGAAAGGAGTTTGGTCGGGTATTTGAGGTCCTATCTACCCAAAAACTGACTAGAGAGCTAATTTTGAAGTTGATTTTGCCCCAAGTTTGGAAAAGCCCTTACGAGTTTTGAAAATATTTTTCAAAGAAAGTACTTTAGAAATTAATTTTGTTAATTGAATCTTTAAGGTTAAATCTTTTATTTAGAGTCCCACCATTACTGGCTTGATCTCTAGGACCTAGAATGCTCAAGTACCCTTCTTCATTTTTAATCTTGGCTTGATCTCTGGGACCTAGAATTCTCAAGTACCCTTTGTCTTTTTTAATCTCGGTCCCTCATCTCGCAATCTAAGCAATCTTCTTCGGTCTTCGCGGGTCCACATCTTGGAAGTCACGAGATATTGCCTCTAGTACTTCGGATTTCCCTTAGATTCCTCATAGAAACTTCGATAGTCATGTACTGGGTTTCTTGGAAGCAGATTTTGATGGTCAGATGCCTTAGGTGGTTTAGGCATCGGTTTGTTTTGATACGGACTAGAAGTACCTCGAACGCCCTTTTGGGTTTTCATTCGAGGAATTGGGCAATATCGCC